TTCCCAGCCGTGGTTCCCTTACTCCCCAGCTTCCTCCATGGGTTCCAGCCAGTTTATTGCCCAAACGGGCCTTTGGTCTTCTCATCTCCAGGGTCGTTACTCATGCCTTCCCCACCCTGCTTCCTTCCTCGAAGTCAATCCAAATTTACTGATCCTTTAAGGCCCCTGTTAAAAAGTCACCTCTTTCATGGAGGCTTTTCCTGACCACCTCCTCCTCAACCCCAAACCACATGGGCTTTTGCTGATCCCTTTTGGTCCAGTGGAATGTGTCCAAGATGGCACCACCCACCCTCACCAGGTCAGTTCCTCTGATCTTCAGTGCTCTCTTCCAGAAAGGCATCATTGGCCTCCTTTGCAAAACAAAACAAAACCAAAACCAAAACAAACAAACAGAAAAACAACTGACCCTCGGGGTCCCTCAAGTTCTTGAGTGGCCGAGCTATTCCAGAACCCCAGTCTGGCTGATTCCACCCCGTACTCCAGAGCCCACCCCCAGCCCGGCATTCCCACATGGCACCTTTACCTGCACCCACCTGTTGCACTGGTGGTGAGGCAGTGGGCATGGGCCCTAGAATCCAGGCTTGAGTTTAAATCCTGGCCCCACCGCTTGCTAGCTTGCTAGAGACCTTGGGTCTCTGATTAGTGTTCTCTGGACCTTGGTTTCTAACTCTGTAGAACGTAGGTGGTTAAGAATGGGAGTGCGTTGGGCTTAAAATCAGATGCTATGTGGGAAGGTCTTAGCATGTGCCGGGAACGTGTGACTGCTTGGGGAGGGTTAGTGCTCATTATCATGTTGGTTTCACCCTCCGTGTGCCCCTCCGTCAGCAGGACCTGAGCTCCTCGAGGCTAGGAACTTGCCTGTGTCTGAGTCCCTCGCTTTGCCCGCACGGTGCCCACTTCATGATAGGCGCTCAGCAAATGAGTTAAATTAATGAAGAGACAATGCCGATTCCACAGCTGGCTTTTCCACCGAGGGACCCGGCTGGCTGCTACTTGGCATCCCCCAAGGATTTCTGGTTTGAAGTCTAAATTACTTCCCCCAGGGCTGGGCTGAAGACAAGAGCTTCAGTGTCTCAGCAGCTTGTCCCCAAAGAGCAGGTGGCCTCTTTTTGAACTAGCAGCTTCCAAATTTTGGAGTCTATACCCAGTGTACTATTCTTCCCTCGATCCCATTAGATGTGTTGATTGAGACCGTGGGTAATCTTCAAGCAGAAGTAGGACGGGGTGTGTGCCCTGGTGGAGAGGCCAAGACGCTGGCACAGTTACTATGCGTCCTGATGCCTGAGCATTCCCTGCAAGAGGGAAGTTTCTAGATAGTGAAATCCACCTCTTAAAGTGCAAGATTCTACTGTTTCCCCATATTATTAGAAAACATCCATTCACGTTGCGCCTCCTTCCCTGTCTTCTTAAGCAGAACATAGCAAACATGGTACTTCACCTTGGCTACTGTTGGCCAAGCGCTTTCGACCTCAGGAACTTGTTCAGTCTTGAGGGCAATCGGTGGGAGGGGCAGGCTCATTGTTTCCACCTTGCGGGTGATGAAGGGAAGTTTCAGGAACTTTCAGTGGCTCTGCCAGGAAGTGGGGGAGCCCTGCTCCTACCCTCTTCTCCAACAGAGAAGCTGGAGCTGTTTGCCCTGCACCTCAGTCTCTTACACAATGCAGCCTTTTCTTGACGACTTGAAGTCAACAACACTCCAGGTGCAACGGTGTTACTGTAGCCAGAACTATCCGTCCCCACACTCAGTGGTTCCAGGTTTGCAGGCTTGGTCCATTATCATTTTCATCACTCCCTTCTCTCCCTTGCCCACCTACTAAAAGCCACCATTTAACTCCCTTCCCGTTCCACTGCTGGGTCTGAGAAAAAGAAGCTGACCCCTTGCTGGAATTGTGTCTCAAGTAAAAACGTTCACTGTGTTTTGGGTAGGTAGAGCCCTGGGCACAGTGCCCTACAGGGAAGCAGGAGAATGGCTCAAGGTTAGGGATGCCAGTTTTGGTGTCCACACACCTCGGGCGAGTCCTCGCTCCATCATTATGCAGGACAAAACCCCTCACTCCTGCCGGCCTCTGTTCTCCCATCTAGAAACTGGGGTTGATCATCTGGGCCACAAGGGGAGACTTGGAAGAGAATTAAGGGAGATAATCCACAAACAGTGCTTAGTCCATGCTGGCCCTGAGGAGGGGATAGTTTTGCTTATGTTTCTGTCACTCAAAGCATCATCAGACTCTGATCATTTCTTCCTTCCTTCATTCGTTCCTCAAATATGGATTTATCTCCCACCTCTCTGTGCCTGGCTTTCTCACTCGCACGATGAAGGTGATAGCGGTATTTCTCCGGCTGAGGGCTGTGAGGACGTACTGAGTATCTGTCTGCAAAGTGTTCAGAAGCCTCGCAGGGTGTGGAAGTGTGACACAAAAGTGACTCATCCTCACCATCATCCTCGTGTGTGCCAGGCCCTGCGTGTGCCGGGAGGCACTGGGAACAAAGAGGTGAGCAAAATAGAATGAGCTTTGATTATGGAGCTTGTGGGTTCTTTACTGCTCATTTTCTCTGTGGGGAGAAAAGCCAGCCGACATTTCAGCGTTGTCTACATCAGATGAATGGATGGGTCTGAGGGCATTGCTCACCGGCACCTGCCGACCCGCTGGCTGCTGCGCTAGAGGCTGGAGCTGGAGCCCGTGCTGTGCTCCCCACCATGCTCTCGCCCTTCGTCACGTCCCCGGGGCCTCCGGCCCTGTGCCCCTGCTGTCAGTTCAGTGCAATCCAAAGCACCCGCAAGCGGTCAGTCAAAGGAGAGGACCGTGCCCGTCTCACCTCAGTCACAGCCGTGGAGGCCAGTAGATGTCTGTGAAAATGCTCTGTCACCCTCAAAAGGCCACACGGGCAAGAGGTCTAGGCAGGGAGCCTGGTGAGGTGGAAAGAGCGCTGAACTGGGAGGTCGGGACCAGAGGTTCAGTTCTGGTCCTGCCACTTGGTAGCTGTGAGTCACTGCTCTCTGAGCCTTGCTTTCCTAAACTGCCAAACAGGAAAGTGATAGGCTTTACCTGTCGGGTTGTAGGAAGAGCAAATAGGAGTGGAATATAAATTTAAGGTAGCTCAAGGCCCCCTCCAACTCCTCCTTTTGAAGGTGAGTTCACTGTTTATCACTCTACATGGGACTAAGTTGGTCTCCCTGGACACAGATTCTGAGACGGAGAAGTGCATTCTCGGGAGGCTCCCAGGAGAGACACCTGTCGGGAAGTGAACAAAGATGGATTGGAGAGAGGGAGAAGCTGACACATAAAGGGAGAAGCTGACACATAGGGAGAAGCTGACAGAGAAGGAGAAGCTGACACACAGAAGGAGAAGCTGCACACACGGTGGGAGGTTGATAGAGAAGGAGAAGCTGGCACAAGGAGGGAAAAGCTGACACACAGAGGGAGAAGCAGACAGAGAAGGAGAAGCTGGCACACAGAGGGAAAAACTGACACAGGGGGAGAAGCTGACACACAGGGAGAAGCTGACACACAGAAGGAGAAGCTGACAGAGAGAGAGAAGCTGGCAAGCAGAGGGAGAAGCTGACAGAGAGAAGCTGGCACACAGAGGAAAAAGCTGACAGAGGAGGAGAAGCTGGCACACAGGGGGAGAAGTTGACACTCAGAGAAGCTGACGCATAAAGGAAGAGTTGGCACACAGAGAGACACTGATTTCATTACCAGTAACACACCCAAGTCCCTTTCTTTGTCTCTCCAAAGCGTCATCACCTGCTCTTCTAAAAGACGTGCATGCCTTCTTCTTGGACTACACCATCGCACGGTTATTTTTGCAAACTCAGAAGAGGAAAGGGAGCCAGCCTGTAGAGACGGAACCTAATTTAAAAACCTCGCTGCAGCACTTGGAACGGAGGCTGGCTGAGACCAGGCCAGGTCCAGGCCGAGCCTTACATCCTCCAGCAGAACCAGGCCAGAGAGGGGCAGAGGTAGCAAGGACACCTGATGCACTGGCCCGGGGCCCTGCAGCAGGGAGCTCATTCTGAAGTTTTCCCGGGAAACTTTGTCACGGAGAGTAAAGCTAGCCAAAGCTCAGTGCCTATCAAATTCTCTGGGATCAACAGAGCTACTGTTTGTACTCCGAGTCCTGCTGTTATCAGATCGAGCCTGATTCCTGATGGGCCACATCAAGGCCACTTGCACTTAGAGCTCGTGCCAGAACGGGGGTGAGAAGGCTCCTTGGGACAACGGGGTCCCTGAGCCTCCTCTGTTGTCCTATGGCAAGCGAGCCACATATGAGGACACCTAGTGCTACAAATATTAAGAAGGGTGTGTTTTGCTGTCCTAGCAATTTTCGGTACCGAGCAGATTTACCTGCCTTGTTTCCATTGGTCCCCCCAAGTCTGCGAAGCTGGGGGCTCTGTGGGTTCGAGAAGGCTCTTCTGACTCTCTCTGTCTCTAAAACAATAGCAGAGTCTCTCAATTTGTGAGGATGAAATCATGGAATGCCTGTAAAGACCTCGAAGAAAACAGCACGTGGCATTGAGGAACTCCTTAATATATGTTTGAAATTACTGACAGGTCTTTTAGACTCACTTTATAAGAGCGGAAGCCCAGGTTCAGAGGAGCTAAGCTCCTCTGAAGGAGGAGCTTCCCTTCCAAGGAGGGAAGGAAGACACGGGTGGGGGCCCACCGTGCTAGCGGGGCTGGACTTCCCGCCGTGGAATTTCCATCACGGACACCCTGGATGCCTTTAAACTTGGGAACCGTGGAAATACCGACTCCTCAAAAGAAGAAAGGAGTGGACGGCATTGCCAGAAAAAGAAAAGAAACATTTGTACTCTTCAGACAACGGAGCCCTTCGTATCTTTATATTTAGGTTCTAAATACCAGAAAGGGTATCATATTCAGAGATAATTAGGTTTGAAAAAGATCCCTTTGCTCTGAGCCCTGAGCTGTGATTGGGGTTTGGCACCCACATGGCCTCGCCTCATTTTGGTTATTTTCAGGAGTTGGGCTGGCAGACCCCTCATGAGCAGAGAAAGGTGTGATCGCCCTGCCCCCGACCCCGTGGTGTCCTCGGGAATGAAGGCCATTGGGGTTCTCGTGGTCTTTGCCTCCTGCCGTAAGTAGTATGGAGCTGGGAGAGCTCCAGGGCTCTGTCCTCCATCTGGGTGTCCGTGTCTCTGGGCAGCCCCTTCTGACGTGGTATCAGGTGGGGGGAAATCAGGTGTTACTCAAAAGAGAATCGGGAGTGGAATAGGTGCCCACCAAAGTCCTCCTCCTTCTGTTTCTTCTACAAAATGGGCTGGTCCCAGCATTGGGACCTCATGAAACTTTGAGAAAATCAAAGGTTGCTAACCATTTGCTAAGGAAAGGGGGCCTTAACTACTGTTTTACCCCACACCCCCTTTGGAAGCCTCTTATTCTTTCCTTCTTTGCCTTTGTTTAAAGTCACGTAGATTCCAGAACGCAGACATATATCTAGCTAATTTAGGGACAATTAATTATCATCAGAGAGGCTCTCTTATGGTGACTTATGGAATAATGGATAATTATAAGTCATTGCTACCAAGAGATCAGATAACACACCCCTGCACAGTGAGAAGGAACTTGCTAGCAAACTGTGTTGAGTTTGTTGGAAAACTCTTTGACTTGGATGAGTTTGATTCATAGAGATTTCTTCAGATCTGTTTTTCTGTCTGTTTCAGCTTTTAGCTGTCAGTTCTCTAATGTCAAAATGTCAGAAGTGGAGCTCCCATTTTCCCTTTAGTCCGGGGTGGAATTTATAGTTTTCAAGATCATGGGCTGGCGGGGGTGGAGTGGGGGGAAACGCAGGGAGGACCACTTCCACAGCCCCTGTGGTGGGCTCTCTACAAGATCAGTGCCTGGCCTCTCTCTCTCGAGGGGCTGCTGGGGGACAGCAGTGACTACCCCAGGCTTCCTCACCCCTTCTGTGGTGCTTTAGGACTACCCCAGGCTTCCTCACCCCTTCTGTGGTGCTTTAGGACAACAAAACCACAGTTTCACATGGGGAATCTCCTGTGAATGTGTTCCAAACACCTCTGTCTCTGTGTTTCTTACCCAAGTTCATGTTTTTATGTTATTTTATTGCAAAATTAATATATGCAGATAATTAAGAAGTAAAATAAATGAATATAACAAGCTGAAGCCATTTCTCATCCTTCCCAGACCCTAGTCCTTTTCCTACACCCAAAGGTAACCACTCTTCAGAGTTTGGTAGACACGCTTCTAGGCTTTTCCACATGTTCATTTCAACCATTTTAATAGAAAAGTATTACTTGGTCACAAAGTATTACATGGTCACTGTAAAAAAAAAGTCAAACAGCATAAAAGTATATAAACGGTGTCTATCTTCTTCTCCACCTACTTCCTCAATCCCACTGCTCAATCCCGGAGAGATTGCTATTAAAAGTAGATGTTTTCAAGACACAATTTAGTTACTCTCCCTCTGTGAGTGGATATGTGGGTGGTGTTCAATTTTTTGATACCACAAGGGACAAGCTGCAGCAAACATCCCTGTGTGTGTGTGTGTGTGTGTGTGTGTGTGTTCTACCCCCACTTCTGTAAACATTCTGTAGAAGTAAAAATTGCCAGGTCCCTGTATATTTGCCATTAAAAAAAATAAGATTGAGGGCATCTTTTCTGCCTCTGAAGAGATTGTACATGCCTGAGGATATTAGTAGGAACTGGCATCTCTGGTTTTAAACTTTTCCCATTAATGTCGCATGAGACCCAAGGGTGTTTCTGCCTGGGGTGGTGGTTTTCCACTTGGCGGGGTGGGGGGGGTGCTCTGGGGGGAGACATGGTTGACGGTAATGTCTCAAACATCATGGAAGCTGGGTTCTCGTCCTGGGCTGGCAAGAAACTGGCTGTGGGGCACAGTGTTCTCTGATCCTATTCCTTTGCCCAGGAAAGGGGCTGATGATGACATGGGCTGATGATGCCCATGTCTGGGGGCATGTTTTGGGGTCTCTTGGTGTCCCAGAGGCCAGCGGTCTCAGTTCGAGTCACCAGGCTGCCCTGTTCTCACTACCCAGTGTCTTCTTTCTTGTGTTCTGGCCGGCAGTGATGGCCCCTGCCCACAGCAGCTTCTGGCAATTTCAGAGGATGGTCAAACTTATCACGGGACGGAGTGCCTTCTTCTCGTATTATGGATATGGCTGCTATTGTGGCCTTGGGGGCAAAGGGACCCCCGTGGACGACACAGACAGGTGAGTCTGGGGGCTCCGGGCCTGCTCTCCTTTCATGTGCACTGAAATCCAAGCCTGAGGCGAGGCAGGGTGTTAGGACGCTCACACTGCGAGAGACAGAAGCCCATTTGCAGTCCCGCAGCCACCATCTAGAAATCCTGGTGTCCAGACGACGTGCCCCGCATTCTTGTGCCGCACCAGGCCTTGAGAATCATCCAGTCAGTCCTGCTCAGAGCTCGAGAAACGTCTTCAGTTCTCAAACGTCACGGCAAACGTGATCTTCGCTCAGCAACCCAGATTTTAGGATTAGACCACGGCAAGGCCGCCCTGCTGTCTCCTGGGCCTAATTCCACATTCCGGGAGAGAGAATCCCAGTGGCCCAGTTTGGAAAAGTTGTCCATCTGGGTGAGGCCACATGGCCCAGCGTGGCTGCCAGGCCTACTCTTGAGCGTGGGGTGGGGAGTGTGAGTCCTGAGAAGAAGTGGAGGTTGGCGTAACCTGGCGAGGGCATGGGGAGGGAGGAAACAGGAAAGCTTGTACATCATTCGTGTGGAGAAATAAGATGTTTCTCACCACTTTTAAGCTCCTGTGCGTAAATATGTTCTTGCAGTGGGACCCGAAATGTCACTCTTAGAGCTCGATTCCTGGGGGCTGGGCTCCTGAGAGCCTGGAATATTCCACCCAGAGGAATCCCAGAGCTTTACAGGGGGACAGACACAGATGGAACCTCCATCATGTGCCGAGCACTGGCATCGCTGATGGGCACATGGGACCTGCCTTAATCCTTACATATCCCTATATGGTGGCCAAGGCAGTGGTCCCATCCCTAGGTGACAGGCAGCAGCCATGAGGACCCCCTAAACCACCATGGCAAAGCCTAAAGACACACCAGCCCCTGAGTGGCCAAGTCAGGATTTGAATAAGAATTTGCCTGTTTCCAAATCCAGACTCTTTGACCCTCTGTCCCTCCCCTTCCAAGCCCAGAGGCTGATGACAATTTTAATACCATGAGACAAAGATGACAAAGAGCAAAGAGCCCGCTCCCAGGTAGGGTTGGTGAGAGGAAGGACGGAAGCGTCTGGCCCAGAGCATTTGCTTTTCTGTGTCTTAGAATCCAGTCCCCGATCCTGCCCCAACTGCTTTCTCTTCTTTGTGTTCTCCCTTTCCACCCCGGGCCACTCTGAGCACCATGAGAACATGGTGCTTTGGTGTTTTGGTGAGCCCTGTCTTCTCAGAGACTGTCACAGTGCTTGGCACATGGTAGGTGCTCAGGAAAAATTCATTATGTGAATAACCGAGTCACATGGACCTAGGTTTAAGCCGTGTGTGTGTGTGTGTGTGTGTGTGTGAGAGAGAGAGAGAGAGAGAGAGAGAGAGAGAGAGAGAGATTTTCCAGCTGTATCATTTAAGGAAATTCCCCCCTTGGGAGCTCATCTCCTCCCCTATAAAAATAGGGACAACAATCACACTTCACAGGGTTACATGAGGAACTAATGAGATAGCAGAAGGTATTAGAAAGGGCTCACGAAATGTGAGTGGTAATGTTTATATCGTTAATATTTTCAGGAACTTACCTCCTTGTCATCAATGCTTTCTCGCTCTGGGGAGGAGGCAGGGGCGTCCTTTCCAGGGTCCGCCCACGGCTCCCCCGGCCCCTCCGTCCCCCCTCTCCGATACCCCGAGGCCCTCCCCCATCACCTGCTCTGGTCTGGCCCCCAGATGCTGCCTGGCACATGATTGCTGCTATGGGAAGCTAAAGCAGTTTGGTTGCCAGCCCGTGCTGAACAGCTACGAATTCCACATCGCCAACAGGACCGTGGCCTGTGAGTAGCCCTCTCTGCGGGGACATAACTTTGAACCTGGGCATCTCCTTAATGCCTGCCTCCTGGTAGAGGAGCGCTTTGAGATGAAGATGGACAGTTCTAGGAATCGGAGCTTCTTGGGAGTGCTTGCTTGGTCTCTGGCCTCTCCTGTCCATGGCTGCATCTCCAGCACCTTCCAGGAGCCTGGGGTATAGCACCTGTTCAATAAGTAGTTGTTGACTTGAGATTACATTGAATCTTGCAGCTTTGCTTGGCAACTGTTGCTGTCCAGAACATTCCTCTGTCTGTCATGTGTTAACAAAGCAGCTTAGCTGTCTTTCAGTTGAATAAATATTTGTTAAGGGCGAGGACATGCCAAGCCCTGGTAGGTGCTGTCAGGGGCGGCTGGAGGCGGGGGACACAAAAGTAAATAGGAGGGGTCGGGGAAGGGAACTCATGTGTCATCAAGGCCATTCAAGGAGGAGAGCCAAGAACAAGGGTGGGCAAGCACTGAGTGTCCAGCAGGTGGGGAATGGCCCCCGCTATCCCAGAGTGTGTTTGGGGGCTCCTGGGGTGTGTGTCTAGGGAAAGTTTGGTCTAAAGAGCAAGTACATTCGAAGTCCCTGGCTGTAACTTTCTCATAAATGTCATTCATTCCAGGGGAGCCAGTGATTTGAGTGTCCCTTCAGGCAACTGGTCTCCCACCTGGCCTTGTGGAGTTGCACAAACCACTTTCCTCCTTACGTGTATTTGTGCTCAGCTGTGAGTGTGTCGGAATTCACCTGCCCCCCAAGGTCAGGGAACAGCCACCTCCCTTCCTTTCATTCCCCCCACCTTAGAATGGGTGCTCAGTGCCCAAACCCTAGGGCTTCCCAGCGCCCCCCAACCCTGGAGCCATCCCTCAGGACATATCAAGACGGACCAAGCATTAGGACTATTCGGTGTCCCTGACCCAGTGGTGAGACCTGAGCCGGGCAAGGGTGGGGGATGAGGCTGGGGTCTCAGAGCCCCACAATGGGAGGACAGACGGTCTACTTCTCAGCCTCCACAGCCCTCAGCCCCCAGCCACACTGTCAATGAGAAGAACCCCCATTTCCCACGTGAGCTCAAAGAGACTTCTGTGCTGGAGCTCTCTGGCCATGACAGTGCTCATACCTAAAGTTGTGTCTCCTGGGAGATCCTGCAGACCATGTGCAGGGGTTGGGATGGGGTCAGGGCCTGGTGGGTGGGCAAGGGAAGAGGGCTGGAGGAAGTTGCCCCCGAAGTGTTGCTTACTTTGACACATGATGCCCTCAGAGGCAGGGACCAAGCTTCTGGCTGCCTCTTCTCACCCTTCCTCCCCGCTCCCACCCTTGGCAGGAGTCAGGGGGTCAAGCCTGGCGGTTGGCTGGAGCAGGTGCACTCTTCTCAGCCTGGCTCATGGTCTCACTTCCATATGGTTTCTTCTCATTGCTTTTCCTCTTGATCACAACATCTGTCATGTCAAGTGTTACCTTAAAGTGCTTGAAAAGTTACCACTTTTAGAGAAAATATCCTCGAGAAGCTCTGTCCTCTGGTGCCCCCATGAAGTGTGGGGACTGAGGAAGAAGGGAAAAGGTGATCTGAGAAGGGAAGTAGAATTTCAGCCGGTGTGGAGCACCTGCCCTCACTGTGGTCCCAGGTTTGGGGCGAGCCTCTGTCCTCTGCACCTGGAGCAGCTTTGCTTTGCTTTGCTTTGCTTTCTTTCTTTCTTTCTTTCTTTCTTTCTTCTTTTTTTTTTTTTTTGGTGCAGCTTCTTTAGCAGTTCTCCTCCCTCTCCCATGTAGGGCCAGAGCCACAGCCTGGGACCCCAGGAGTTGGGGAAGACAGTGATCTGAGTGACAAGATGGACCCCTCCCCTCCCCCCACCAAAGTGGCACACAGAAGCATCCTCTGCTTGGCACCTGCTGGGTGGTGGTGGGAGGTGCAGGGCCGAGCTGGGAGCTGGTGGGGAAAGTTTGCAGCCTGGGCTGTGCTGCCCACAGATCCTACCAGGCAGCCAGTTGCCCCTAAAGCTTGAGAAGACCTCCTGGAGGCCGGCACCCTGCTAAGGGCGTTAGCATGGGGAGGGGGCAGGTGCTTCCCAGACAGTGAGTACCAGGCCAACCCCCGGTCCTCCCCACCTGACCTTGCCAAACCCCAGCTCCCAGGAGGAGGGCCAGGAGCTGGTGATCTGAGTTCTGATCGTGGGTCTGCTGCTGGTACCTGCTGAGCCCACAAACCAGACCCAGGCACATTCATTACTTGTCCAGTATTGCCTGAGTGCCTACTGGGTGCCCATCCAGAGCCAGTGCTGTGCAGGGGCTGGGACACAGAGCAAGGCAGACTCAGGTCCTGCTCTCCTGGCATTCTCCAGAGCCGAAAGCGCCCTTGGGGTCCCTTTAGACCAACCTCTCATTATAGGGACAGGGAGACAGGCTCAGAGAGCGTAAGCGTTTGATGTGATTAACAGGCAAGACTAAAACACATGTGTCTTTAGCTTTTCCAATAATCTGGAACGCACTGCTTGGCATGAGTTTTCTGGGCCTCAGTTTTTGTTTTTTTTTTTTTTTTTATCCACAAAACAGGTGCATTAGTGACAGCAGCGGTCTGTGAGCATCTGTGATAGGTGCTTTACACAGAGAACCCTAACCCCTGGGATCCTCCTTTGAGGTGAATGTGGTTATCAAGAAGGACCCTGAGGCTCAGAGAAGTTAGCTGAGATGGCCACAGTCACACAGCCAGGAAAAGAGTCCTGAGACAGACCCAGGTTGTCTGGTCGCAGAGCTGGTGCTCCTGCCTCACACTGCACCCCCCCCCCATGGCATGGGGCTACTTAGAGGGTGTTGGGGGGGTGCGCTTGGTTGGAGGGCCCCCACAATTGCAAGTCTTATTGGATTTGCCCTCCTTGTTGGCAACATCCTCATCAGAATGCGCAGCACCGGCCCAGCGGACAGAGAAAGGCAGATGAATTCGGCTCCTGTGATGCCCCAGATCTTTCTGTTCTAGCTTTCTGTTCCTTGTTAAGAGGGCCAGAGAGAGCACAGACTTGGGAGTCAGGCTTAGAGCTGGGTCTGAATCCCAGCTCCACCACTTCTAGCCAGATAATTGCATGACTACCCTGGGCCTTAGTCTCCCCATTTTTAAAATGGGGCTAATACTCTGCACTTCGTAAAGTTGCTAAAGTAACCGCACTAAAGGGTCTGGCCCATAGCAGGTGCTTAGGCAATGATTTTCCTTTTAGAAGCCGGGACTTCTTTTTGCCCCTAAGTTTTCTTTTCCCCTTTACTTTTGCAGAATAGCACTGGGATTTTCTTCATGACTGTTAGATTTCTCGGAAGCCTCTCCTTTGCCCCTGTATCCCCTCAAGCTAACGTCATTAACTCCCTAGAGAAGAAAAGCTCTTCCCACCTCAGTTACACTGCGGTTCAAAGTGCAGCCCCGTAAGGGTTAACTGCCTCCCCCCACCACCAACCCCCAACCTCCAAGTTCTGAAATCCCTACCCAGAGCCTGGCCCCAGGTTGCCTAGCAACCTGCAGCTGATCCGGGATGCAGTTAGTGAGCAGGGAAGGGAAAGGAGAAAAACAACTTGGCCTGTCCATGTCTTTAAATGTCACTGGGAGATCAGTGCAAAGAAAGGCCTATAACCCAAGCCCTGGGCCAATTTGCCAGGTGGGGACGGCCGCCCTCGAGCAACCGGGGGACCTGGGAGGTTGTTATCCCTCCTCTGAGTGGGCTTATGTAAGTTCTTGGCATTTGCAAGGGACTTTAAGATTAGCCAGCAGAGACACCCACCCCCTCCACCCACACAGCCATGTATGCGTTGTGCAAGGGGCCATGGGAGGCAGAGACCAGGTTCCAGCCCTGGTCTCTCTTCCACCTCCGTGTCTGACAGCCTCTGACGTCTCCCTCCACCGATGAGGGAAGGTGAACATGGCAACCACTGGAATTTGTGGTGTGCAAAGCTCTTCCTCCTTCATTACTGGATGTATCCCTCACAACACCTCACCCACTGACACATCACCCTTTTCTTTCTCCTCACATTTGTCTCTGCCTGAAATTGCTTTGTTTGTTTACACGTCCGCTCTCCCACCAACCAGAATGTGAGTTCCGGGAGGGCAAGGAAAAAGCCTGTCTTGCGTGGGGGGCACCCGTCCTCGTTAAAACTCACAAAGAAGGACATCCTGAGAGCTATGCAAAGTGGGGTCTGCGGGCTCAGACCTGTACCTCCAGTGCCTAGCCAAAGGCCAGGCACATGTCCAGAACTCAATACCTGTTTGATGAGTGAATGAATGAACTCATAAAATAGTCAACGCTAATGTCTGTTTCCCGATTTGAAAGCCGAGGAAACAGGCTTGGGGACAGGCAACTTGCCTGAAATCCTAAAGCATGCAGGCGGTGGGTCTGAATGGAGAACACTGCTTCCCATTGCCTGGGATGGGGATCTTTTGCTGCCACACAGAGGGTGAACCTCCAGCCAGTGGGGCAGCAGCACCTAGGGACGGAGTGCTCCCTGGATGTTTAGGGTGGAAGATATGTAATAAGAAGACACACTCCCTGCCCAGGGAGCTTGCCTCCAGGGAGCAAGTCAGTATTCCCAAATATTGAGAAATGAAGTGTTCCAACAAGGCAACAGGATACAGAACAATGACGACAGGGAGAGGGAAGGACAGCTACTTCAGGGGGCCGAAGAAGCCCTTGAAGGAAGCAGCATTTAGCCAGTGTGGCAGGAGCAGAGGCCATGGGCATCGGGACTGCGGTGGCTGGTGTCGCATGGGGAAAGGGTCCGCAGGGCTGGGTGGACAGGTGAGGAGGGTGTCTTCTCCTTCCGTTGCAGGGGAAGCTGCCAGAGCGTTTGCTGCAGGATACGGTCTACTCTTGCTTTAGAAAGATCACTCTGGCCACTGTCCATGGTGGTTGGGGAGCCAGGGAGGAAAGATGGGGAGCCATTAGTGAGCACTGGGAGAAGCTTCCACGGGGCGTGGAGTGGAGAAGGAGAGAAGTGTTGGATGCCGGGTGTTTTGTAGGTCGATTGTCAGGGGTCGCTGATGGATAAGATGCAGGGTGGGGAGGAAAAAGACCGAATCCAAGGTTCCTAGCCCCAGCGGCTGTGCGGAAAGTGTTGTCTGAGCTTGTGCAGATGGGGAAGAACAGGCTACGGAGACCCAGCAAGCACTTGGCATGAGGCTTTCTGAGTTTCGGATGCATATCAGACACCCGATGGGGAAGTCAAGTGTCCAGGAGCACGGTAGTCTAGACCTCAGGGGAGACACCTGGCTGGGGCAAGAACCCAAGAGTCATGGGCATTCGGATGGCATTTATTTTTCTTTTATAAATAGATTTTATTTATTTGAGAGAGAGAGAGAGAGAGAGAGAGAGAGAGAGCACAAGCAGGGGGAGAGGTAGAGGGAGAAGCAGGCTTCCCACTGAGCAGGGAGCCCGATGCAGGACTCAATCCCAGGACCCTGGGATCATGACTGGAGCTAAAGGCAGACACGGAACCGACTAAGCCAAGCAGGCATCCCTCAGATGGCATTTAACTCCCTGAGACCAAACCAGAGGCCCAGGGAGAGAATTTAGAGAGCAGGATGGAGGCCTGGGACACAGGCAGGTGGAGGCCTGTCAGCAGCCCGAGTTCTCTGTGGCCAACATTCCTGTACAGCGTCCTGCTTCGTCCCATTGTGGAAGTCTACTCCACGGACTGAGAGAAACAGCCCTGAAGCCTTCAGGTCCTTTCTTCAAGCCTCAGTTCCTGTCTTGGCGTCTCCACTAGCAAACCGAAAGATGCAGGAACTGGATTCGGGCTGGTTGGGAAGAGCTGGCATGCAAGGAGGACATTCCTCGGCCCAGGCTTCCTCTCCTTCCAGGTCTTGAGGGGTCTGGCCCGGCCATGGCTATGGGATGCCCCGGAAATGATAGCCCACAGCCGTTGGCCCCGGCTCAAGATCAGTTCCAGTGCGCCTGGGGCCCAGGTGAGGTGTTCAGAGGTCACACTGTGTGTCAGGAGAGGGTCAGAATCTGTGTGTATGAAAGGAGCAGACAAAGCCAGAAAGGGACAGCAAAGCAAGAGAAAGGACAAGGACAGTAGAGATGGGAAAGAGGGAGAGAGAAACAGAAGACAGAGGTAACCAGAAAGAGGACAAGAAAGAGGAGGGGACCGAAGCAGAGTGACAGTGGCCTGGATGAGTGACAGTGGCCTGGACGAGTGGCTGGCCCTTTCCTGAAGAGAGCATGGTTGAAGGGGGACAGTGCCCTGCATCCAAGTAGCCCCCTGAGGACACAAGCCACGAGTCCAAGTGGGCCCCTTCAGACCACGGCAGGAAGCAAGGGGTGTGCTGGGTACGAGGGAGACCAGAGACCCAGAGGGGACAGGAACTTGAGTGGGGCTTCTTGGGGGGAGCTGAGGCTTGATGAATCCTGAAGGATTTTCTCAGATGGAAAGAAGGAGTGTGAGGGCAAAGGTGACCCAGGTGTCAGGAGCAGTGGGAGTGGCAGGAGCCGAGAGCCAGGGGCGGGAACATCCCTGGCACACTCCAGGAGGGCACACGGAGGGCACAGCTGGAGTGTAGGATGGCTGTCGATGCATCTTGAGAAACGAAGTCTCTGGGGAGGTGTGGGAGGACAGCTTGCTGCTGGAGTTGGACTTCAGAGGGAGAAAGGCAAACGAACGGAGGACGGCCGGCACTGGGACCAACTTCGAAGGGCTCCTCTTCTTCCCAGAAGCATCACCATCGTCATCACCGTCAGCACTTACGGAGCACGGTGGGTGTGCCTGCCACGTGCAAACTGCTCCCTCCGTACCCCGTGGCCAAAACCCTCACAACGAGACTACACCGCAGACACCATTATTTATTTTTGACACTTATAGTTCTCATCATCATTTTGTAAATGTGGATGCTGCAGCTAACTTGCCCATGATCAACAAACTGGTGAGTCTGGCTGCCTCCCTTCCTCAGCCCCAACCCTCAGAAGAGAGCAGAACACACACACACACACACACACACACACACACACACACACACACACACAGGCACTGCAGCTCTGGCAACTAAATAAAAGATCTCCATCTAGTGGTGACTTGGCCAAAGGGCAGACACTCAACCCCAAAGGCCCAGAGAGAGGCTGGCTGCATTCATTTATCTGCGACCCTCGGATGAGCACCCACTATGCGCTACCATCTGTTCTGCACGCTGGGGATGCTGTGATGGACAAGACAGACAAAACCCTGGCCTCGCAGAGCTCACACTCTGTCGAGGGGAGACAGACACATGCAAGCAAATGCATAAGAAATGCATGGGTTGTGCAAAACACAGTGAATGAGATAGACGGGCGGGGGGCTGCTGGATCGTGCTCTAGGTCGGGGGCCCGGGAGGGCCTCTCTGAAGAGAGGAAATCTGACCACGACCCAGAGGAGGAGAAGGATCCAGTTACTTGAAGATCCTGGAGAGAAGTGTTTTAGAATGGCGAGAATAAAGGCCCTGGGACAAGAGGGAGCCAAGCATGTGACAGGACAATGTTCCCAGAGCAGAGCAAAAGACAGTGGGGAAGGAGAGGTTTGCAAGGGCCGATCATAGCAAAGCTGCTCTCTGGTCCCTGGTGAGGATTTGGATGTCTTCCCACAGTACTAGGAAACTGCACTGGGGCTTGAAGCAGGAGAGTGGATCTGATGGGGTGACAGTCTAAGAAAGTCCCTGTTCATTTCCTCCTGTTAGGGAGGAAGAGCTGGTGGGGACCGGGAATGCAGGAGTGGCCAGGAAGGTGGAGAGAAGAGGGCAGAGTGTGAAGTACTCTAAACAGAGAAATCGGTGGTGTTTGCTGTGGACTGGATGTGCAAAGTGGAAGGAGAGGAGGAACCCAGGCTGCTGCTCGCTTTCAGGCTCGAGTAGGAGGCAGTGCCGTTTTCGAGCCACGAGCGTGGGTGAAGGACAGGTTGGTGGGCAGAGGGAGCACTACATTGAATGTTCCCTTCTGAATGCCTTAAGCTGGAGATGGCTGAGACATCCCAGCGAGATGTCAAGCAAGCAGCTGGTTATATGAAGTGAGTTCCGAGAAAGTGGGTCCCATGTCCTTGGTCTGTGCGCCCACTCAGGGCACCCCCATGTGCAGCCCAGCCTCCGCTCCCCGTTTCCTTCCAGGCTTCTCTTCACTCCAGTCCTTGTGGCATGTCCAGATGTGACCAGGGACCCAGAAGGCAGACTCCCAATTTCCTCCCTTTCTGTTTCCAACCCTTGACCCCTTGCAGCAAGCCCCCATTTTCCCAGACCTTAGAACCAAGTGGAGCCCCCAGTGACCCCTTCTCTCTCTGCAGGTCAATGTGCCCTCGACCCCAGCGTCAGCTGCCTCTGTGGGCTGCGGGCATGTGAGTGTGACAGGGAGTCTGCCTACTGCTTCCGAGAGAGCCTGCCCACCTACAAGAAAAACTTCAAGCCGTTCTTCTCCAGCCGGCCCCGCTGTGGCAGGCATAAGCTCCAGTGCTAGGCAGCCACGGGCCCCCTCATCGGTCAGCATGGGATCCAAGGTCACCTGTCCTTCCTGAAGCCTTCTCATGCCATCCCCAAGAGGCTCTAGCTCCGCAGTCACCCTTCGGCACATGGCCTAGGGTACTCCTTTGTCACTCGACCCCAGAGGGCAGCTGATCAGCAACGGAAAAGATAGAACCCTGGCATGCTATGGAGGGAGCCCCTACATGTAGACACAAATAAATAACACTTTGCGATAGTCGTATGTGCTCAGAAGCAATCAGCTGGTGGTAGGATAGAGAGATATTCTGAACCCCAACCCAGGAATTTCTAGAAGGAGAAGAGGATGCAGGATCTACCCTAAGTTCTCCCTCCACCCTGATCCCCAAATCAGGATGCAGGGTGGACTTGGGAAGGGGTCACGCAACCCACATCCAGGTGTGGGCAGAGCAGGGATCTTGCAAAACACAGTCTTGGCACATAGCCAAGGATCTGAGAGCTGCACTTGGACTTTGTTTCTCCTCTGTTCTAGTTCTGCTCTCCCAAATCCCTCAGGTAGGAAAGATTAATGCCATTTCCATCTCTCCGGAGACAGAGCATGAGGATACCCACACCCACCATTGCCACATGGGTGTCATAGCCAGGAAAATGTCACAGAGATGGAGAAAGGACCTGGAAAGGGGCATCAGAGGGACCCAAAATTTCTATCCAAATTCAGAAGCTCCTAGTGCTATCAGACTTAGAGTCTAATGAACACCAAAGTGACCTGAGCTGAGCAGATTCTGTTCTTTTTAATGCCCCACTGGCATGGCAAAATGCACAATTGGCCACAATTGTCCTTAACCTCACTGCATCCTTGCCTCTCGTGAAGGAATGCTCAGCTTTGTCCACCAAGAAGTAGAGTTTATTTTTCCCAGTGGTTGAATCTGAACTCCACGCCAGCCCTGTGAGTTACTTTGGTCAGTAGAATGTAGTGGAACCTAAGGATGGTCTGCCAGTTCCTGAGCCTGGGCCAAGGAGACCTGGTGCTCTACTCTCTCAGGATGCCAGGCTCCACCAAGAAGAAGCCTGGGCTGGCCCAATGGCATGTGGGAGCCAAAGTCCATCAGCCCCGCTGTGTCCACTCAGACATAGGACATATAAGAACTCTTGGCAAAGGTCAGCAGAACCCATTCATTGTTGACCATGACCCACAAGAGAAGCTCTCTGGGACCAAAGAAAACTTTCTGGCTGAGCCCAGGCTAAGTTGCCAATTGCAGAATTGTGAGCTGAATAGAGGCTGCCATTTCAAGTCGCTAAGATGTGGTGTGGTCTGTTACACAGGATAGCTCACCGATATAACGGGTCTTTGTTCCTGGAGATTCCAGGTTCTCAGCACTGTGCTGCCCTTGGAGGCCAGAAAATATTACAGACGTGGCCTCTGACCCATACCTTCAGGTCTGGGAGGAGGAAGGCCATGCTCATATAATAAGGGAGAACACGTAAGGGGCTGTGATCACACAGTCATCCAACAAACATTTAGTGAGCCCCCACTGAGCATCAGGCACCCCCACCAGTGCTGGGCAGTAGGGATTCAGAGATTTTTAAGAAAACAAACAAAATCAGGGCTCAATATCCTGGGGAGAACTTCAAGAGCCATAGCATCCTTTAGAAGTTCAAGTTCAGACACTTAGAATCTGGATTGAGTGATGCTTCCCTGATGTGAAGACAGTAAGGGAAGCCAGGGGTGGTCGGCAGAGGGTCTGGGAGCTGGTGTTCTGTGCTCTGCCTCGTTCAGCAGGCAAAATCGAGTGGCAAACTCACCTGCCCGCCCTTCCTCCCCTTCCTTCTCTCCTCCCCTACCCACATGCTCTAGTCATTACAAGCACAGAAAAGGAGCTTGAGGTCAATGAGTATCTATTGGCGATGGTACGCAGTAGGCGGTTGCAGAGAGGCGGGTGCGGACCTGGTGTGGCCGGGTCCCAGCCAGGCACCTCGGCTCCCAGCAGGGTTCGGACCACAGCAGAGGCCAGCTCAGGGCTCTGGACATATTGGGCCACCTGCCACCAAGGAAGAGGCAGGCCAGGACTGCACTCTGCATAGGGGACAGAGGTTCCAATGAGAGATCCAGGCCACCTTGCTCGGGTCTGAGACGTGGAACTGCAGAGGGATGTCATTGACTTTCCCCGGGGAAAGTCTGCTCTCCTGGAAGGACAGCCTTTCCGCTACCCACAGGTGTACTCCCAGGGCTGCTCCAAACCAGGCCCTGTGCTAAGAGCAGAAAAACAAAGAGGCATCAGACTCTAAGTGGCTCTCAGATCAGGGGACACAAGTCCACAGGCAACCACAAAGCAGGCTGCAGAATATGCTGGAACGGGGTCCGCATGGGGAGCAATGACTGCATCTAGGAGGGCCAGGCCAGGCTTCCCAGAGGAATGCTGAGGGTCTGACATCTCACCTGGGGGCCAAAACACAAAGTGGGTTCTCGGGGTGGCCCAGCGGGGTGTGCAGAGCTTCCCCGTAAAGGGAAGGAAGGTAATTCAATATGCACACACACGAGAGCCTCTGCCACCTGCCTCTCCCCCTCTCCACTGGGTGGGGGACCTCCTCCATCTTTGCCCTCCCCCACCCAGGGCAAAAATCTGCATGTCAAATTCTTTCTCTCATATCTCACATCCCACATCCAATCTGTTGGCACTCCTTTCAAAATAAAACTAGATTCTGTATGTATTTATAAAACACTTAGTAAAATGCACACATTAAAAAAATAAAATGAGAGAGGAAACATCTAGAATCTGACCACTTCTCAAGACCTTCAGGGCTGCCATGATGGCTGGTCCAAGCCGCCATTCCCAGGGTGGGTGATGGCAGCCACTCTTCCTCATTCTCTCCACCCCCCCAACACTGGGCCTCTGCCATCTCTTCTCCACGCAGCAGCTGGTCAGCCAGCACAGCGCCTGGCGTCCCACCAGGTCCCTGCTCTACTCATGCTGGGCAATGACTCCCCATTTCCCTTAAGTGCTAACATCCTCTCGGGACCCAGGAGGTCCCCATAACACCCCATCCTGCTTCTGGACCCAGCTCCTACACTCTCTCCCTGCAACACCTCAGCTACTCCGGCCTCCGTCCGTGCTGTTTCTCAAGCACATGCTCCAAAGGCATGCTCCCTTCAGAGGACCCGGCTCTTCCCTCTTCCTGGAATAGGTTTCCCAATCGCTCCCTCCCTACCACATCCAGCTTCACTGGGATCTCCCCGTCTTCATAAAGCTGGTGCCCACCAGCCTGCCAGATGTTGTCCACTGGCCCCTGGCATTTCTCTTCTCCTTGGTCCTGCCCCCTCCAGCTCTGTTCTCTGCCACTCAACACCCTACCTCTGTTTCCCCAGCCAGAGTGTAAGCTCATGAGGGCAAGAATCTTTGTCCTTTTTTTTTTTTTAATCGCAGATGTATATGCTGAATGGGACATGGTCAAGAGAGAATGTGGAAGGTAAGGGGATGGCCAGGAGCTCAAGAGTGGAGAGCAGGGAATGCGGGGAGGGGCTTTCCAGAGCCAACACAAGTGAGGCGGTGGGCAGGGCTGGGTGAAGGAGAGCCTTGCCGCCCCCTGAGAAGGCTGGGCTTGATCCTGGGAGCAGCAAGGGTCCCCCCCACCCCATTCTCTGCAACACGACCACTCTCTGCGTGTGTGAACTTGGGCAGCTCAAGCATCTTGAGGCCTAATATCCTCGGGGGCAACCTAGATGGCTGAGAGCGTGGCCTGCGGTGAGCGGGGTGGGGGGGGTACCCACAGGGAAGTGACAGGGACTCCATAAGGTTCAATCACTTCACCACTGGGCACTGTTGGAGTGAGCCCCGCCTCCAAGGGGACAGCCTTTGAATGTGGATGCATTTTTACAGCAGCTCTCTACAGATTTTCACCGGCTGTTTCTTGCTGCCTGGGGAAGCTGTCAGCCAGCGAGGGAGGTGGAGCAGTGGGCACACCCTCCACCCAGGTGCCGGGCTCAGTGCCCTCCTGGGGAGACGCTCCGCAGTCGCCGTTTGGGCTGACTGTGCACATGTGGGCTGAGTCTGGAGTCACTGTCCCGCATTCCCACTCCCGGGGTGTCCGTGAAGCTGTGAAAGTCTTGACGAGCAGATGTGGGGACCGTGGCGTATGTCCATGGGAGTGTGGCTGTGGGCCTGAGCTCAGGCGGTGTTGGGGCGTGGTGGGGAGTGAGGTGACTGGGTTTCTGGGTCAGTGAGTGCCTGGGCTGGTGGCTCCTGGGATGGGCCAGGCATTGCTGGGCTGGTTGGGAAACGGGGTCCCATCCAGATGAGAGAACAAAGTAGGACATTGTCCGGGCCCTGAGACCCTGAGTGGGGAGAGGGGGAGTCCATGTGTGCCCCACCCTCCCCAGTTAGCCCCCCAGGTCCTGAGTGCCCCCCTTGTTCAGACACAGAGTAGCGACCCACCTTTAGGCAGGGGCTGTTAAAAGTTCCAATTTACTGCAAGACCACACAGCTAACATGGCCAGAGCAGGGGACCTGAGCCGGGTGTTGTCAGACTCTTCCCCCGCTACACCACGGTTCCCCTCCGCAGGCTTGTTGCAGAAGGAATCCAGAACTGGAGAGACTCAGGGGTGGGGAGGGCAGTGACCAAGGATGTTACTCCAAGGGTTTAAACACTTGCCCTAGGGGGAGGCCTAGGTTCTGGCTAAGCCACTAACTCATGGTATGGGTTCAACCATCCATCACATGGATATGCAGGGTGGTGAGACTGGGCTGGGCACTGTGGATTCAGTGGGAGCAGCAGGGGGTCTCCCCTCCACCTGAGACTCCCAGCCCAGGTAGGGACACAGAGACACCAACAGCATAGTGAGTAGCAGGGAGCCCTGATTCAGGCAGACCTTGGGACCCCCCATCCAGACCTGCAGCTCTGGGAAGCCTTCGGACCTGCCTGAAGGATAAGTGGGTGTTAGCAGGCAAAGTAGAGAGGAGGGGAGCATGTGATCAAGGAAGGAGGCTGGTGCAGAGTGGAGAGGTGGGGGGGGATGGACAGGAG